TTCCTTGATCTGTATGATTATCATTGATATACTTTCAGCACACAATTTGCATGTTTTAATAATACTATAAAATGTTTACGACCAAAGTTTTATATGTGTTTGTTTCTGATTATACTGAAATTTCTGTGAAAATAATTTTTTGCTCATGTAAATTACATTTACGATTAATATAAAAGTGAAAAAATGTATTAAATTTTTCCTCGCAATAAATAAACTTTTATTCCATTATTTCAAATTAGAAAATCAACTTACAGAATGCATATTCTTTTAATAATTATGAAATTAGCGTTATAGCTCGACAGAAGATAATTAATCGACATTTTAAAATTTAACAAACACCAAGCAATCGCTATAGCTTTCTCCACGATAATCGATATTGCAGGCACGATTATATTTATTTCTATTATTAACTACATTTGCAATCCAAACATTTATGTAAATGCAGCTTGTGAAGAAGGCAAAAATGAAATACACAAAGTTACTTATCCTATTGGTCTCAGTTAAATTCTTGATAGCGGAAGCGAGTAAGTAAGACGTTGATTATATTATTAAGCTAAACAAATAAACTAACTTCTGAATTATTATTGTTTAGTTCTATCAATATCTATTTTTGATCGCAAGAGTTAGGCGATATCAATATGTATTTAGGCTTCGGTGTTTCGAGTACAATTTACTATAATTTAATATTAACATCTGTAGATATCTTCTGGTTAATAACCAATCGTCGATTTATTTCTGATTTTATTGCTAAAAGCAAAAAAAAAAAAGATAGTGTAACTGGGATCGATTGTTTCTGTTTGAAATTATTTGATGTCTTACATACATTCTGAAGTTACAATGGTACATCGATACTCGAAGTTAACTTTTTTAGAAGGTCGTTCGACTGCAATCTGAGTATTGAATTAATTTTTTCATAAAGAATAATGTAAATTAATCTAATTCGTTGCATATTTCTCAAAATACTCGTATAAGAGAATTTTAATTAGATCAAAGTTAAGAAAAAATTTACAAGCATAAAATTTAGAAATCATGAACAGAACTAGAAACTTTACGAAATACAGAGTAGTAAAATACGCTTATTTAATGTATTAGGTTAACAAAGAATTTTGTATATTGTTAAATTTCGAATTTCCGTTTGAAAATTGCAAAACTGTCTTTACATAACAGAGATGAATTTTCGAGTAAATACTTGCATGGGGAAAATTCAATCAATAAGAATTACGTTTCCACTCAGTTGTTTGAGTTTTAATAAAACTTTCCTACGATACATTTTTATGATTTTACAGCGGCATAATCAGTAGATACTTACCTTGTGTGTAACTGGTTTTCTGGAAAATATAAATAATTTTCGGATAAAATATTTTCAAAAAACCTTTAAATTTTGACGCTTAATAATAACAGAAAGGTATTTTGACATTTTTGTGTGTTGTTTTTTGGAATGTAAATAAATATAGCTGCTTCATATATTTGAAAAGTTTGGTGAATTTCGGTTTGAAAATCGCATTGAAAGCGGATAACTCGAATTTATAATGCTTTATTCCTTTATTCCACATGTCGATAATTTAATTATAATTTTTTTATAACGTTCATTTATCATTAATTATTTTTTTAAATAATGATTTCAATAAATTAGTAGATACTATATAAAAAAAACTCCTTAAACATACTGCTAAAAATATTTAAATACAGTTGTCCCTCTATAGTACGACGTTTTTTAATCCGACATGCTCAGTAGTCCGACGCACCTCCCGTCAAAATACCCGTCCCCGTTACGTGTCTGCTTGCACAGAAGCATGTCGCGATGTGAATCTCCCCATCCAATTCTTACNGTCCGACGCACCTCCCGTCAAGGTACCCGTCCCCGTTACGTGTCTGCTTGCACAGAAGCATGTCGCGATGTGAATCTCCCCATCCAATTCTTACTCGATGACACACATTTCGTGTGTTTTATGTAAGCAGTTCTGTTTGAACAGTTGGAGTACAGAATATTGTAAGTTACTGCTAGCAAAACAATGCGAAATATGTAATTATTTTCGGTAATCCGGACACTTTTGGTAATCTGACACACCTTTGGTCCCATACCTGTCAAATTATCAAGGGACAACTGTAATTCGATAATATTAAGTTTAGTAAAAAATGTATTTACTAAACATATATGCATTCAACTATATTAATATATATGCAATTTAACTTTATTATACAATAGACAATTCTAACTTTCGTACGAAACAAAATATTATATTTTTTGACATTTTTATTGTATAAAATAGTTCCAATACCATTATTTTTATATATATTTGTTGCATACACTTGACCTACATACCAAAATTATAAACATGTATTTTACTTATGCGAAAATAGAGAAAAACCGAAACTACTTTTTTGATGCGTAATTTAGTTATTAATATTGTTAAATAAAACTTAAAAAACGATTGTATAAGTTTTTTGTAACTATAAGAACACCAAAATTATTTTAGAAATACTAAAATATACTGCATAATAATTGTTATTTAAAGAATACTTGCTTCGTTATATAACTATTTTTTTGTTTTAAGAAAAAAACAAGATATAAGTTAGGTTTGCGAGTGTAGTATTACCATTCTCGAGATATGACACAACACTCTCTTTACCTTTTCACTTCGTCGACCTTTAACCCCAAAAATCGAATAGCATCAATCCCTTTATAAACAATATACCCAGCAAAATTTCTGAAATTTTCGATAAATATATAACATAAACATGTTTATAATAAAACACAAACAGTTTTATAAACATTTTCAAATTTAATAACATGTACTGTACTGCACATAATTCTATCTGAAACTTCATAATATTTCTTTTAGTTATATGAAACTCAGTTTTCTAATAGAGCAAAATTAGACCTCAATTTAGAGATTCCAATCGTGCTCTACAGAGGCTGGCTCTATACTGCAAATCTTCAAACAACGAGAGTTATATGTATTAATAGAATATATGCACAAATTTGTGCTTCATTGTGCAATTTAAAAAAATTGTAGAGCTATAAATTTCAACTGTTTGTCCTTCCTTAATCTCGAGAACAGAGACAGATATGTGAAAGTTAAGGTGTTCAAATGTTAAGGAAGTAGGCCCCGATTAACTGTATACGAACTTTCAGTTTACTTCCGAAATCACGTAAATTCAGTTCAAAATTTCCCCCCTGAAAGGAATTAGATTAACGGTGTGACTCTAACAGGAAAAACTATGGTGTTCAGAGTAATGACACCACTAAAATCGAAAGCATTGTGACGATGTCTCAATAATTAATAAATTGCTCGTACAGTATTCTAATTAAAATTGCAATGAGGATGACTTAATCGCAAATTCTTTCTCAACATGTTTATTAAATTTAAATTAATTTATACAATCAACTTGTTATATTTATTATTCGAGCATGTAAACGTTGTAATGATATTTGTTATATATATTCAGAAAGCGGAAATGTCGACATTTCCAATTTGACTCAATAAAAAAAAATATTTTCACAATTTTGGTTGCTGTTTTTCGCTATATAATGCCAGTCATGTGTTTCATAATGTAACCGAGATTGAAAAATTTCGGTTAAACTGTGGAAAATTAATCGGAGTTCGAAGAAAAAAATCAGATTACGTCTTTCATCCCCGCTACATAGCACCACGTGACGTAGCTCTTCCATTGTTTCTGCTGTTTCTGCATGCCCGGGTTCTCTACCGATTTAAACCAATTGTCGTTTCGTCCGATCCACATATCAGCAGTTACACTTAACTCCATTCTCTGATCTTATCACAAAGTTTCAACTTTCATGTAACTACTTCAAAATATGTTTTTAAACGTATCACCGTATTACGTATAAACGTAACGACTCTCCGAGACAATGTTAGAGACAAAGTTCTTTCATTGCAGACTGGACAAAATCTCAATCACGGATGATTTCAACGAGCGACTTTGACTTAACCAACGCCTTTCTCACTTAAATGCCGACTGACTTTATTGTTATAACGTTCCTATTTTTAGTTCAATTTAATTTTACTTCTATTTAATTTTACTTCTTTATTACACTTTTCTTTTTTATCTGTACTTTTTGTCAATTTTGTTTTTCTCTAAACAATAAATTACTTTCATCTATATATAGAAAATTGCTTGTTCTGACTGACTGAATGAATGACTCACTAATTCATCATCGCCCAGAGCAAACCGCTGGACCTAAAGAGGTGAAATTTGGTACACAGTTAGGGTACGTCATGAAAACGCACACTAAGAAGGAATTTTTCGAAATTCCCAAGTGGGGAAAGAGAGAGCATTAAGGCTTAACCGAAATAACGGCTTCTACTGTGCTATTTTAGATGCGATTTTTTGTTTTTATCTGCGTTTTAGTAGGGTATGTCATGAGAATGCACACTAAGAAGGGATTTTTAGAAATTCTCTAGTGGGGGTGAGAGGGAGAATATATAGTCTTCATCAAGTACTTAAGTGTATTAAATTAATAACATTTCAGACATTGTTATAAATATTTTTATCCATTTCGATTTTAAAAATGTTCGAACCGTTTTAAATTCGAATTTGTTATTTCGTATTCGTATTGTATGCGTTTTAGTAGGGTATGCCATGAGAATGGACACTAAGAAGGGATTTTTCTAAATTCTCCCGCGGGGGGAGAGGGAGAGGATTAAGCTTAACCGGAAGAATGGCTTCTACTGTACTATTTTAGATGCGATTTTTTGTTTTCAACTACGTTTAGTCTTCATCGAGTACTTAGGTGTATTAAATTGATCACATTTCAGACATTGTTTAAATATTTTTATATATTTCAATTTTAAAAATGTTCGAACTGTTTTAAATTCGAATTTGTTATTGCGTATTGGTTCGATTATAGAACGATTGTAAACGTTCCAAAAAATTGATCAAATTGAAAATAGTTCGTTTGATTCTCAGCTATTCTCTTCAGCGGTAGGTGTTATATAACAATTACTATGGTTATTGAAATATTGAATGTAAATGGGGTTTGCTTGCAAAACCTTCGCGGACGAAGTCGCGGGTAACAGCTAGTTTGTGACATGTCACTGCTCAAACTACTCGTCCAAGCTAACTGCTTCGAGAACATCATCTCGAGTTTGTCGATGTCACCGATATAGTAATAATTTTAGAAATTTTTTTTACCTTGCAACAACTCTAGTTTATAACCTTTACCATACATATTATTTTTTCAGATCCATCCAAAGAAGATGTGGTAAAGTTTTCCAAACCTGATGTTCGTATAATTTTTATTGTTTAATAATAATTGTTTACAGTTTTTGATGATTTTTTTAAATTTTTAGTATCTTTCAAGTGATTTTGTGATTTCTCCGAATGAAATACATAAACATATAACATTTCCTTTTTCCACGCTCTGTAAGTACAAGAAATTCAGGTAAGAAATGAAAAACAATTTCATTATAACTATAAAATGTGTTTAACTAATCAATTACCATAATAGTACTTTATTCAGTAATACATACAACAACTATATTTAATCACAATTATTAATACAGAAAGCAGGTATACATGTTATATATATATTACTATATTCGTCAACATACAAAATTCGAAAACTAAACCAAACATATATGCTTATTGCAGAATAATATAATTGTTTGTTTTTTTTATATACAGATTTATTTTTAATATATTTAATTTAAAGAAAGAAAAAGCTAACTTCATTAGAATTAGAATTTATTTCATGTACTTTTTAAACACTTTACAGTGTAGAGTGCGTTGCTACGTTACCTATAGTAACCTTTCCTAATCGTCAAAGTTAGTGTTATATAAAAGAAATATTAAAAGAAATAGTAAAATACTGTTTTAAACGATAGTTGTTTCATCGAATCCCGTTTACCGGTGCATTATATCAATAGAGTGTAAGATACTTTCGAAATAAAGAAATTTTTCGTATGTCTAACCTAGTGTAACAGCTATTCGTTTTATTTTTTAAAAATCAAAACACTAAAGTATCGTGCGCATAAAAATAAAAAATTCCTGTTATATCATAGCTTTTGAAACTGCGATTAGTTTCCATTCACTCTAAAATGTTATGACTCAAGGATTTTTCAGTAAAATGAAGTGTCTTATCTCCCATCTTTTAAATTGAAATATCACTTTTATATAACTAGCATATTAAAATTACTGTAAACAAAATTATACATTTTTGACGTAAGTTTGCTAAAATCATTCGATAACAATAATATTCTTACCTCACATTTTAATGGATTAAATCGTTATTCGAAGAAATATAGAAATAAAAAATATTGGCCTTGGAAAACAGTAAACAGGATTTTCCCATTTTATCTCTTTCACACTTTTATGTCTTATTTTTAAAAATAATTTTACGTAATATATCGTTTCTTAGATTCACGTAGGTATTTGCGCCATTAATAAAATGCTACTCTTGTATATTTAACTAATTTTTATTTTTTTTAATTTAGATGTAAATTAAACAAACTGAATGGAACTGAATTCAATAATTTTGTGGAACAAGTAAAAAATGGGGTATGTTAAACAATTCGTATTTACATAAACTTTAATATATTCTATGAGTTTTTTGTTTTTGTGTAACCTAACAAAAATGCCTTGATTAACTTTATCGAAATATCGCCAGTTTATTATTAAGTAGCGTTATATTTCCACTTTTAAAGAGGAAAAAGAATATTAATGCCTATTTTTCTATTGTGCGAAAGTAACTAAATTTAATTTGTTACATTTTTTCATTACTGATTTATAAATTTTAAGCGAAAAATTAATTTCTCGTGTTTAACTTTATCATGAAATTTAAAAAAATATATATTATGTTAAATTACTTTAACTCGTTAGTATATTTATTTGCTGAGCGTGACAGTTGTTCACAACTAAATAAATAAAATAAGTAATGCTTGTAGAATTTCGCCGGATGATAATTTATTTTTTAATCAAAAAAGACACAGTCTGCTCAAAATTTCCTTTTTGAAACCACCTTCTTTTTTTTGTGTGTTTTTAAAGGAATGTTTTAGCCAGATGACCTAGTAGCCTACAAAGAAAGGTCCGGTCGTCGATGGTGTTCTGGAACACATGATCAGAAGAAATGGTGGTTTCAAAAAGAAATTTTGAGCAGACTGTGTCTTTTTTGATTAAAAAATAAATTATCATCCGGCGAAATTCTACAAACAAAACTTTTTTAGAAATAAATCGTCACCAGAGGGATAAGACCAAATCTACATTTAACAGCGCATTTATCAAGTGGATATAAAGGACTGAAATTCCCTAACTGGAAAGGATGCAAGTTTAAGACGTCTGTAAGACCGCCAGTTCCAATTCTTTACTTTTTAATGTTTTAATTGGATTTTTTTGTGTGTTTTTAAAGGAATGTTTTAGCCAGATGACCTAGTAGCCTACAAAGAAAGGTCCGGTCGTCGATGGTGTTCTGGAACACATGATCAGAAGAAATGGTGGTTTCAAAAAGAAATTTTGAGCAGACTGTGTCTTTTTTGATTAAAAAATAAATTATCANATTCGTTTAAGAAAAAAGTGTAGTATTTCTCGGAAGTCACATTATTTCAGTTCAAAAATTTTCTTTGAAAAGTGATCAATAAATGTGGGGAACGACTGGATTGCTAAAAATCATTGTACAGGAGCATCTCTGTACTAATTTCAAAGTAGAAAGCGTGTATTTTACATCCAATAAATAAAAAAAAAGAATTAAAATTTGCAGACTCGCATTTTGACAATTTTAAAATAAACGTTTTCTATTCAAATATAAATTATTTTTATTTGTTCTTTACGAATGCATTACCAGAAACATAATTATTATCACTTCGTAAACTATCAATGTTACGTTTTAACAGGACGCCGACATCACCGACCAGTCCCAGTTTATTAATGCTGATATGAGTGATGTTGTGGAGTTTACTCCAATTAACATATTTTTACCTTTTCAATTTGTCATTAAAAACAAGAATCTAGAACTTTCTTGGAAATCACTAATTTCTCCGTTCTCTTTTTGGGTAAGTAACGCTTAAAAATTTAATTGATACAAAATTTTAAATATTACTTCAAACACAGAAAACCTTTCATATAAAGGTGTGGCTGGTGATTTTCTTCTGTACTTTGGTCGCTGGAATACTCATATTTATAATACTGAGTTACGACAAATCACCAGAAGACAATAACAAAGATTGGAATAAAAAAAGATTCGTTTGGTTTCTGTTTGGAAGTTATCTTAACCAAGGTAAGAATCAACGTAACACAAGACAATATTTTCATTTAAAAACTGTATTTGGTGCACATTAGATTTTTTATATTTATTTGAGGAATCGACTTCAAAGTCGTTAAACGCTCATCCTCCAGAGTGGCCTTGGTCTTCTGGATTCTTCCGGTTTTGATCATATGTTGGGCTTATGGTGGAACGTTAACTTCATTTATGATTACCAAGGAAAAACAGCCATTGCCAAAAACGTTTGAAGAATTAGCATCAGCTGTTCAGAAAGGAGAATTTACTTGTACTGCACCTGATCTCCCGTATGTGATGAACTTCTTTAAGGTAAGTTGCTGTTCGTAAATTCATAAAATAATATCTCACGTAAAATATTTTAAATTTCTTTATAAATACAGTAAAATCCGTCAAGTGTACAGAGATATTTAGGTAGTGTTATCGAAGTTGTGGGTTTTCCGTAGCTTTAAAAGTGCATAAATTGCTTCATTAAAAATTCAGAAATCTAAAGCTGTTTTCATATCAACAATTTATTTTTATTGTTTTATTTGAAGGTAACATTTTATTTCACAAAGATCATATCTGTCTTGAAAACAACGAGAAACTTTAATAATTTTGATGCTTTCATATGAGTATCTTCTTGTTTTATTTAATTTGTTTTTTTTTCTATTTTTATTGTGTTATCTTTATTTCTTTCCTCATTTAGATATCATTTTAACAAGTTAAATTTCCAATTTGATAAACACTTTTTGCTATAAATGCAAAAGGTCTGCTGAAAATTCTGTTACAAATGTTAGTTTAAATTTTCACTTTCGCTTTTACAATAACAATTCGTAATCTGTTCACATTTGCGGATACAGAAAACAACCGCAGAAGACCCGAAGCTTTTTACTATAGAGTGTAAAAGCTAGTTAAATAATTGCGTATATACCTTTTGTGAAATTATGTGACCCGGAAAAATATATCTGGAAGCATTGTAATTAATGAAAAAGAGTGATATTAGGTCTGATGGTTGCTAACACAATTGCTACATATTAATTAAAAAAAGAGAAATTTCTTCAAACAATTAATGGGTACGGATTCCGTGATGGTTTTCGATTGATTTAACTCGATGGAAAACGGTTATGTTCTTAACTGGAAAAAAAACAAGATTCTAAAAACACATCCACCAGCTAAAAACGCACGTACTTTTCTTTGTAGGAAAACTGACTGGTCATGGCAGTCCAATCATATTGTCAACATTATCTCAGAATGGTTCAGGCAAACGAGATTCAAGTCATGAATTAGTCAGTCGAGGTACCAGGTTTGATTTCTATGGAAAATAAATGAATATTTCTAGTAAGGTCAGTAATGGCAAATAAAAAGCAATACGATAACACGATTGACCCGAAGACTTAATTCATTGAAAAATAGAAAAAAGTTCCTCAACATTTTCTTTAACTCGATCGACTGTTAAAGACAGATTTTTTAAACCAATCGTAAACAAATGACGATTTTCTTATTGTCAATAAAATGATTTTACTATTTATATTAGAAAGCTTTGTGTATAAATTTAAAAGCACAATGTAATATTAAAAATGAAATTCGGCCATAATCCATTTCCCCGTCTTGAAATATATTTTATATACCAAATGTAAAGTACTTATTATTAAATAACACACCTTACAGCTGAACGAAGACTTTTACAAGAGATATATTTATTACACAGAAGTAATTCAAAATTCAAATTACTGTATAATAAATTAATGTACTAATTTATTACACAGAAATACCCCGAACATAAGCGATAGGTGGCACCGAGCGATACCGTAAGTGGAATTCGCGTAAGTCGGGGTATAATTTCTCAATGTGTGTAAAATGCAAGTCGGGTGTATGTAAGCTAATAAATGTTCTCGTTAATTTTATATCGTCTTTTGATTCGTTCATTGTTACAAGAAATCACCACATAGAGTCTCTGAAGGCTCCGTAGATATAACAAACACATCCGAACATGTAAGCCGAACAATAGTGTGAGGGGAATGAGTAATCCAGGGTTGCGTGGCGCTCAAACAAAAGACGAATCGACGAGATTTGAAAATCGCGTAACTCCGGGTACGCGTAAGTCGGGGTAGCGTAAGACGAAGTATTACTGTACAGTAATAATTAAATGTATAATATAAAAATAACATAAATTTCGATTATTAAAAATAAAAAAATCGGACATTTTCTAGAATCGAAAATTGGACGATTGACGTAGAAATAACGTGAGACAAGTATAAAAAGTGTATTCTTATACGACGTCAAACGGTAATTTTTTACGTCAGAAATCAAATTGAGTTGATGGTGTCGAAATAAAAAAACTAATTCCAAAACCAAACAAAAAAAATTATTTGTTGTAAAATATTTCGATCCTCGAGAACTTTCTTTGAATCACCGAGAATCTAATCGAAAGAGATATTCATTAACCACGGCTTATTCAATAGTAGGAAATTTGAGAAATTTCAGAGGAAAACAGAGTCGCGTACGCGTTTTGAAACGTTAAAGTAACGTTGGGTTTCATTACTCTTCGAGAACGAACTAGGAGAGTAAGAATCCAGTCAATTATAAATAAGTAGGAAAAAGTATTTAGCTTATTTCATGAAATTGTCTCTTTTTAAAATGCCAGTAATGCATTCGAAATGTCGTTTCGTAACAATATAAATCAATTTATATTAAATTTTTTAAAAACCTCTATTTTCAGAATTCCAAACTAAGTTATTTGAAAATTTTATATGAAGAAATTTTAAGCAATGATATCATAGATACATACGATTTGTTTATGAACGGTAACGATGAATCCTTCGATTACACTCGTGTTGCATACATTTACAATATGGGTTTCATGAAAATTTCTGATTTCGAAACCGCCATGGATGTGACAGCGTCTGACGATGTATTATTTTCCATGCCTTCAGCATTCGTTATGAGAAAAGGATTTCCCCATAAAGAATATTTCAACAATATGTAAGTTCTATTTTAAGTATACGAATTCTTAGATTAAAAAAGTCGTAATTACACTTTATATTTATTTCAGAATGTACAATATATTCGAAAGTGGCGTTCAAGATCATGATACAGAAGTTGACACGTGGAACAATCCGCTTACGAAACATATTAAAGAGAGAGTTAGTATGAGTAAAGAAACTAAGTCTAATGTTGACCCCTTGGTTTTAAGACATTTTTATGGAGCCTTCGCAATTCTCGTTATCGGTTACCTTCTCTCGTTCGCTTGCTTCCTTGTCGAATTAATAATTGGAAAAACGATGAAAAGATTCCAAATTTAAATTTGTTAATCTATAATATTCACTTTCATCTCCATGTTCTTTGTTTCCTCCGAATAATCGAACATTTGATTTATCGAAAGTTTTGCGTTTGGTTTTAAATATTCTATAATTTTTCAATATTAAGTGAGAAAGTTATATTCTGATGTTTTGTAATTTTCTATTCTCTAAACTGACGCCATGAAATTATCTTATAAAATAAAACTCTTCACCTGTAAACTGAATTTCAGTGTTATATTCGAAAGATGATTACAAATCATTTATTAGATCAGATACAAATTCCACAAGGTGATATTCGAATTAATAATTAATATTAATTTTCACAGCCATAATTTTATATTCACGATTTCTATCTTTTAATTCTACTGATATAATTGATTTTAGTTTACTTTTTATATATCCTGAGCGTCGACGTCTACATCACTCCTTTAAAATTTTGTTATGGATATTAACTAATTGTAATTTTTATCATTTGCTTTGTTCAGATTACGGCAGTGCGTAAATTCATTTTAATGTCGTTAATAAGAATATTGAATTTTAGAATGTGAGATGAGGTGAAAAATTAAATTTATCATTACTGAACGAAATATTTAAATATTTAATTACTAGTTTGTATTGTTCATATATAGTTCATAATCAACAGAAAAAATTATTAAAATTTGCAATCACAGCTACACGCTTTTAATATGCGATATGTTAAATAATGTTTAGTGTAATAAAGTGAAAGTAAAATTTTCCTGTTTTCTCACTTCTCTCGTCTAGACGCTCACCTGTATATTTATAAAAGTCAAGAGCTTATAAGTAGTCGAACATAATATGGGCATTTTGGCCGTTTACTTTAATCAAATGAAATACGTATAATATTTCTTTAATAAATAAAAGCAGCCTTAAAATAATTTTTATAATAAAAACAACAATAATTTTGAAAGGGTATATAGGACATTATCGTATAAGGGTATAATCGTAATCAAGGAAAAATCAGTCATTCTGGAATTGTGCCATTAAAAGTACGTGTATTTCTAGTTTATTCAGATCGCAAAACGGTAATTGCTTTTTTGTAGTTAGATTGACGACACACACACACACACATTTATATATTATATATTCATTATAGCACTTTGCAGTACCGTTTATCTATTTATCATTTGTATGTGATTACAAAATATTTATAGAACATTGCAATTATTTTTAATCAAAACCTATTTTTTGTACATTAGTGATACAATTAAACATCGTCATTATCCTGGTAGTGTAATGCTAGTACTGTGTTAGAAATTTTATATAAAACTTCTAGAACAGATTTGCTGCGCTAATCGCTCAAATCGTTTCTTGTAACTTTCCGAAGTAAATGGCATTAAACAGAACACAATCGGGTCTTTCTGAGGAGGAAAATTTGCTGAACATCCCTGGTTAATGAGAATAGATTTACTGCAACACAGCACCGATTCTAAGTATTTTATACCTGTATGTAAAGCCACAAATTAACGCTTTTGTCAGCAGTATGTACAAAAGATAGCCTTGGAGATGTAATGATTTGACGTTGTCAGTTTGTACGTAATTTGCAATTGAGGAATAGTAATACGGTATTTACACTACGGGATTCAAATGAAAGTTAAAAATATTTTAACCAATTGGTAATTGCGTTTTTTTTCTAATTTAATCATAAGCATTTGCCAATGTCTCCTATGAGCGAGGCCAGCACTGCTACAAAACATAAGAAATCTGAACGCTTGAAATATCTTGTAACAGAAAACTTAAAGTAAACGCATTACTTGTCATCAGCAAAATTCCGGTTTTAAACAGATTCATTTTCGAAGTTATTGCTCTCAAGCTGGAATAGAATTATGCTGACTTGACTTTCGATCCAGTGCAACTTCATAACCTTGCAAACATATGGTAACATTATTTCTTGTACAAAAAACAGTTACAATAGATAGAAAAAATGTAAACATTTATTATAGTCCGTAACACTTTTTTCCTTTTTGTCAGCATTATAACTTTTATAGTTTTATTGTTATCACGATCATTTTGATTACGCTTTATTCTGCTCACTATGTGTGTTAAATTCACGTGTTTACATATCAATGTTATTGGCGTTAATAATGATTAATAAAGCACAGTTTTAAATCTTACACGGGTCTGGTTGTTATTCATTACATCTGATGCGCAATCTTACGGTAAAAATATTTATAAAGTAGAAATGTTACAGCCGGATAATTTTTTGAATAATATAATAATAACTAATTGTTGAATTCTAATGTGTTTAGACTAAACGTAATTAAAATCACTTGATAATGTAAAATTAAATACAGTAGTTATAAATGTATGCCTATTCTATGCGTTAGTAGTTACGATACAAGTAACTTCTTTCGATGTTACTGTGAACCCGACGGTTTAGGGGCCCGCATTATTATAGATTTGTAAATATTGACTTATTTTTTCGAGAGCGAATTCTTCTATCGGCGAATGTAACCATCCACGGATAGAAAAATTAGTGAATAATATCGGCTCGAATCTCACCTCGGTTTTCAACATGTAGATGGGAAAGTTGACGGATTGTTGCGAAAGACTATCGATCCATTATTACTAACTGTTCCAATAAAGAACAAGACGATGCCTGCGCTAATCGATACAGGAAGTTTCATCAGTTTTATATCCCAAAGACTATTATAAACTTTATTCAAATACTTTCAATACCAATCCGATGTGAAGATTATTACTACAGCTGCAGGATCTACCACTAGCATTACTAATGTATTAATTTCCCTTAAAATCGGAAGTTTGACAAAATGCATTACTTTATATCTACTATTCAGGTATTACTCTTACTTAATTTTATCTTATCGAGACATTAGAAAATTCAGTCTTGTGATAGATTCTAGTCTTAATCAGATCTCTCAAAATCATACTATCCTAACATTACATACTATTACTCTGAAGTACGTTCAAATCGCTCTAGTTCCACAAATAGTTACCATATTAGACATATTATTCATTCTTGTAACAGCATAAGTAACAATAGCAATAGCTTATATAAGATAGATCAGAGGGAGATTCCTCAGGCTCTTAACCTTGTCTTCCTACCTCCTTTGGCTCAGAATGCAGCAGGAACTTGTAGGGGTAGGGATAGTTCTACTTCATTAAAAGAATCTCTGCTAACTATTTTTAACATTCGAGATGTTTTTAATCCTAATCTGAAAGGTAAACAGAAGCAGTAGCTAAAGAGTTGTTATTTTAAAATTTTGGAAAGTTTTTCTGCACAGAAGTTTTCAGTGCCAGCCCTAAAATAGCTTTCCCTAGAATATTACTTAAGGACGAAAGGCCCATAACTCTCAAATCTTAAAGAACATATTACCGTGATAGAGAAAAGATTGATAGATAGGTGGAACTATTGATAAAATCGGGATTAATTGAACCATCGTCGTCCCCGTACGCTGCCCCAGTCACATTAGCTAAGAAAAGAGATAAGAGGAAAACTAGACTATGTATGGATTATAGAAAGTTAAACGAGATGATTAAAATTAACAATTAACCTATTCTCAGAATAGATGAGCCGCTAGATAGACTTATAGGTGCGAAAATATTTTTTGCCATAGATATTCGGTCAGCCTATTGGCAGGTTCCTCTCTATGCTGAAGACAAAGAACTAACTGCTCTTGTAACGAATTCTGGTCACTTCCAGTGTAATCGTTTACCATTTGGCATAAAGACTTAAATGTAGATTTTTTTAGCTAGTTTTAAAAAATGTTTTAAATAAATATACATTTTCTTTTTTCATCAATTATTTTGATGACTTGTTAATTCAAAGTCAAAACGTGGATGAACTCCTAAAACATTTAACACGAGTATTTGAATTATGTTGAAGGGAAGGTCTCTACTTAAATTTTAATAAATGTCAGTTTGTTAGATCTGAGATTAATAACTATGGGTTCAACATCAAACCAGAAAGTTACTCCCCCTCATTATCAAATATAGAAACTATACAAAATTTAAAATGTCCAACTAATATGAATTACAGGATGTTTAGGGTCTATAAACCATTACCATCAATTTATTCCAGATTATGCAAATTTAAGAGCTCCTTTGAATAAGCTTCTAAAGAAAAATAAAAATTGGACTTGCACGACTAAATGTCAGGAATCTTTTGAAAAATTAAAACGAGCACTTACCTCCAAACCCATCTTAAACATGTATAATCTTTTGCTTCCTACACATCTTTATACAGTTGCTGGTGGCGATGGTATAGGAAGTATCTTGAAACATGAACACCCTATTAAATAATTATATCCTATAGCCTATTTTTTATGTCTTTACTTGAATATGAAAAAAGATACACCATTACTGAAAGACAATGCCTTGCCATTGTAGCATTTACTGAAACTTACACTTTTATTTTCATGATGTCTGTTTCACCATACACACTGATCATCAAGTTTTACAGTGGCTGAAAAGTGTAAAAAACCTATCTGGAAGGTTATTTAGATGGTATTTGAAACTGAGCATGTATCATTATGACATTATACATCAGAAGGGAAGCCAGAATATAGAAACTGATTATTTATCCAGAACCCCGTGAGCCATTTTTTTAGCACTGTGGAAGTCCTTTTCAACCAGGATACCTCATTACTCACCTGTTCTTCCGAGTTCGCTTAAGTTTTTCCGAGATCGTGAAGATGTAATCTGTATCAGAAAGAAAAGATTTACAAAGTCATACCTCCATCACTTCAGTACAAGGTGCTATCCAGGGCACATGCACACTATGGTCACCCAGGTATAACACAAATGTTGAAACTAATCAGTCCACGTTACTATTGGCCGAATGTCATCAACGATGTTGTAGAGTTTGTTAAACATTGTGATATTTGTCAGAAAGCAAAGACACACAACCATAAAATGTTTGGCTTCTTAGGTGACTTACCTTCATCAAAAGCTCCATTTGACATGTTATCTATGGACACTGTCTCTGGAATGCAAAGGTACAAATCTACGAAAGACTATTTTCATGTCGGCATCAATCATTTTTGTAGGTTTGCTTGGTTTTCCCTTCCAAATTTACTTCTATAAACGCCTACATAGATTGTCTAGGCAAAATATTACAAACATGGCAGCCCAAAACATCTACTAACAGATAGAGCACCTTCATTTACTTCTTCTAGATCTCAAAATTTCAAAGGAATCGGTAGGAACAAACGAACATTACATTTTTATTTATATAGATAGATAGAAGATGATCTGCTTTAGTTCATCTTCACAAAAAAACAAACTTAGATCGTCGTACTTGTAGCGTCATCTGTTGGACATAAAAGCCTTAACCCTAGATGATATCTTTTAGCTTATATGGATATTCAACAAAATTAAAAATGATAACTGAAGTTGTAAAACTAAAACAAAACTATAAATAGTAAATCAGCATAATTAACGACTCCTTCTTGACAATTTATATAATTGGTAGTTTTACACTTTACTTTCTGGTTAACAAATTATTTCAGAAATATAATTTTAATCTCCTTGATGTTTTCATATTAATTAACTTTACCAAAGATAAAACAGAATACATAAGTTGGATGGTGGAGTGATGGATGCCGCCACCCCGCGGATATTATGTTTTTTTTGTTATTTTCTCATATTTATGTTTTACAAATTTATTATTGTTTAATACAGTATATATTAATATTAATAAGTGCCTACTATTTCAATTCACATACTTTGCACAAAGGACAAGGGCCTCGCAAAGATCTGCCGCCCAGGGCCTCGCAAAGATCTGCCGCCCAGGGCCTCGCAAAGATCTGCCGCCCAGAGCCTCGCAATGGATAAGGCCGCCGCTGATGCGAATGTATATACAACATCTTAAGCGTTTACTCTTCATTATAATGCTAGTGGCTACATCCACAGCGAATGTAGGTTTGCACGTTCTAATTCGGGCCTTCTAATATCGATTCTAGTTACACCACTAACTCCATATTATAGGCTAGATTGTATTTCCAGCTCCGTATGTAATTCATTTGTAGACTGTAGTACTTCTTTCATAATTTCTAAAATTTATAAACATTTTAAACAAATTTAAATTATTTTAAAGAAAAATTTGATACTGTAAAAAATGTGTATTTACGACAAAGTTTATAGAATTACATGACATATTTTTTGTAACGAAGATTAATTTCTATATATGTATAGGTTCATCACGTGTTAAGCTAGCCTATGGAAAAAGGACGAGGTTCAGTAGAACTTCTGATTCCTTGCGTCATTCAGATATTCTGTTCAACTCTGTACCCTTCGTAATGAACGGAATTGTAACGGATATTGCAATTCTTGACACCCACCGACCTTGATTGAATGTCTAAATAAAGTTCACCTAGGAAAATTAATTTTGTTATTTAAAGTTAATTTCCGATAATTTTGATTTAATTATTTGGTTTGTGAATCGTTTTCATGACTTTTTTAAAACATACTTTAATAGAAATTATCTGTTAATTGGATTTTTTAAGTAGTTAATGAGGTTTCTTGATCCAAATTTTGGTTTTTTGATTGGCTAATTGGGTTTTTTTAATTTAAATTTGGCTAGTTTTAATTGGGTAACAGAATTTTTAATTCAAATTTAGCTATTGTTGTTTGGATAATTGGATTTTTTGTTCAAAAATTTTTATTTATTAATAATGAGATTTTTTAAATCTGTATTTCATTACTTTTGATTGGATAATGGAACTTTTTTAAATACAAATGTTAGTAGTTTTGATATTGGGTGGTAAGATTTTTAAATTAAATATAATTATTTTGATTAGCTAACAGAATTTTTGAATCATATTTTAATTTTTGATCCAATCTACAAACAAATTAGCCACCAAATTCGATGAGTTTAAAATAATTATATCTACGGCGAAATAACATTAAAAATTAACATTTATACAATTATACAATCGAATAATTGTACAATTGTTTCAAATATCATTCACAATGTAACAAAGAATTATAATAAAGTGCAGTAATTCAAAGAAATATTATTGGAATTATTATCAATTTATTAATTTAATTTCTTTTAAAATTTTATTTAAATAATTAAATTATTTAAAATTTTATGAAAAGTCATCTGATACGCTTAATTTGTAAAATCGCAAATCATTATTATTGGCTAAAAATATCAAAACAAATAAAATTAATCTATTTAAGAATTTATAATCAATTTTAGCAATTAATTTGAATTAATTTATTTATAGTTCAAATACGAAAATAAATATACTCGTTTGAGTGTAAGTTTATTATTCAATACAGTATATGAATTTTTTTAAATATTTAAAAATTTTATTAAAATAATTAATTTATAAAGTTTTTAAAATAATTTTATACACGTTATTATAAAATTATAAAAGAAGAATAGAAGAATAAAGAAAAAAGAAGAATTTAGAAAAATACTATAAAAGAGTATTCTTCTAAAAAAAATAAAATATATGTTGTAATGTGATAAAATTTGATTT